AACCCTATCTTTGGCAAAAGCTGGGTCCCCCCAGTCTGAGCCCACAGGCAGGCCTCAGGGGCACAGGCGAGCCCCAGACCAGGGCCCTCCACTCGCCAGGAACCTCAGTCGATCCCGGAGGGGTCGCTCGCGCTTGCGCCCCACCCAGGCAGCACGAGTGGCGCCCCGAGAGGCCGAGCCCGGCGCTCCCGCCCTCCGCGTCCCGGCTGCGGGCGCCTCCCCGAGCGGGGCAGGCCCGGCCGGGCGGTTGGCCGGGGTGGAGTCACGCCGCTCCCTCCCACACTGGGTGTTCAGGCGAGGCCAGAAACTCGCGCGCCATGTCGGCTCCGGAGGCGGGGGGTGTTTTCCACAGAGCCCGGGGCAGGACCCTGGACGCGTTCCCCTCAGGTACCGCCGGCCCGTCGCCTGGGGAGGGGTGACCTCGGGGCTGCGGAACCTACCGCCCGGGAACCTTGCGTCAGGGCGCGCGCGCCTCCAGCCGGACCTGTACACGGGCTGTACCGGGGCGCTGGGGACCGCAATAGCGGCCGCACCGCCCGCTAGTCTGGTTTCCAGGGGGGCGCTGGAGAGGCCGCTGTAGGGCGAGGGGTTCGGTCTCGGAACCCCACTTCCCAGAGAGAAGGGACGCCAGAGGAAGGCAGCAGGCACAGCGGGTAGCTGGGCCTTGGACACGGCCCTCAACAAGTCTTGGGCTCAGTTTCCTCGTGTGTAAAACGGGAATAACAACAGGGGGGGCCGGGGGGCCCTCGGCGGATGCTGGGGGGGTTATTTTGTACCCCACAGTCACGGGTCACTTACTACGCGTCACCCGCCAAAATATTAAGTGTTCATCAGAACCGAGCGGCAAGGTTCTGAGGTCCGATCTGAGAACTCTCTGCCTTGGACCTTGGGTTTAGATAATCTGCCCCTTGTGAACCGGGCGTGTTAATCTCACCTGGAGAAGCTTTAGCAGATTAAAAGCATTTCTGTAACCCAAGGTCGGACCCAGGCTGGACGCTAAAGAAGGGGAATTATGGAGCTGTAAGGCACGAGGAAAGTTTGTTGCCAGGTTCCTTTGCCTCTAGGGCTTTGGCTGCCTGGGGGCAAATTCTCTAAGGGGCTTTCACCGGTTTTGTACCTTCTGGGAAGTCACCCCAGATGTCCTGCTGTCTGGCTTGTACACACTTATCTTGCTTCACACTTGCTGCTCTTCCCTTGCCATTTCTCCTGCCACATTGTTTTCTTGAGCAGCATTTTAAAAGGACAAAATCTTTCTGTCCTCCTGGCCATTCAAAGTGTCTGCCTTGGGCCCTGCTCGTCTCTGCTCCCATGGCAAATAGCTGGGCATTAGGGCCTGACTCCTCAACAGTCACACGTGTTTTTAAGTACAGTCACTTTTCAAATAAGATTTTCCCTGACTACCCTGTATCAAGGAGTTTCTCCTGTAATTTCTATCTGAAAACCTTGTTCGTTAACTTTGCATTTCCTGGGAATTGCAAGGGAAGTAGCAAGACTATGAAGAGCATGTGGTGGGTTTTGGAATAGGTAGTCTGCTGTACATACGTCAAACGGCCTTTTTTGCCCAGCATGAGATTTTGAGATTTATCTGCATTAGTATAAGTAGCTTTAGCGTATTCATTTTCCCATGGGGCAATAGCCTGTTGTATGAGTAGATCCTTTATACATTCCCCTGCTGAATATGTGAAATATCTTCCCTTTGCCCCTCCAGAACTGCTCTCTCCCCACCTTGCTCCAGGAGGTCCACCTCTATGACCTACAACCTCCTTGGGGTTCCTTGCCCTCTGGCTTCCTGTTGGGTTCAGCTTGTAACCAGCCTAATGGGTGTGAAGTGAAATCTCTTCATTATGATTTGAATTTTCCCAATGATTAACGATACTGAGCTTCTTTCCATGTGCTTGTTGGTTATTCCTGTAGCTTTGAAGAAATGTTTGCTCAAACACTTTGCCTGTTTTTTTTAATTCCTTTTTTTTGTTGTTGTTTGTTATTTTAAACACTTATTTATGCATACAAGAGCTGGGGTACAGGCCAGAGGTGCAGTGGGGAGGGCATGAGAGTATTCACTGGAGACAAGTGGGGAGTAGAACAGGCAGATCTACTGAAATACAATACTGAGGGGAGCAGCAGGGAGACAGGAGAGGTCTGCTGCACCATGTGGGTCAGCTCCCTGGCTGGGGATCGAACTGGTGCTGCAGTAGCTTCAGATAGCTTCAATAGCTTGATAGTGCTGAGACTGAACCCCTTGCACCACCAGGGAGGCCACTTAGCCTATTTTTTAATTGGGTTATTTGTGTATTTACTTCTGATTGTAAGAGTTATTTATATATTCTGAGTTCAAGTGTGTCATCAAATGTATGCTCTGCGAACATTTCCCCCCGTTCTTTGCATTGGCCTTTCCCTTTCTTGATGACAGAGCATTTGCTGCACCAACGTTTTTAATCTCGAGGATGTCCACTGTATCAAGAACTCTTCAAAAATCACTTGCTGTCCTGTCTGAGAATTCTTCGCCTAAGGCCAGACTGGTTTAGTTTAAGCTCTTCTGTTTAGGTGTATGTCCACAATGAGTGGTGAATCGTGTGATAAGGATCTATTAGAAATTTTCAGTATTTTAAAATTACAGTGGAAGCCTGGCAGATGCCAGTGAATAGAAAAAAAGGGAATTCAAAAAATGGCACATTTTCCCCTTTCACATGATGGAGACTGACTCTAAGCACACCTTCATTTACCAGCCTTCTGAAGTGGGACAAGGACTCGTCTTAACAGGTGTCCCTGGTGGGCTGGCCGGGGGGCCTTTTCCTGACATGAATAGTGCTCCTGGGCCGTCTTTGCCACTTTGGGTTTCTTCCACGGAATGTGAGTTAAAAATCCCTTGGAAAGGAAGCACAGAGCAGAGAATTCTTCTGGGCTTGCACGTTCTTCCTCGTCCAGTCTTTTGCGTCTATGTCCGTCCCCAACTCCTAATTCAATCGTAATTTTACCTGCTCATCTCTGTTGACTCCTGCCAAAGCCTCTTAGTTTTATTAGAAGCAACCTTTTACCTTCATGCTTCTCTGGTTTACACTTTAAATTAAGTGACTTGGAAAGGAGCGCTCGCCTAAACAGTTAGGGGCACCTCCCAGTGGCCTCCAGGTGAGCAGACTCTGAGGGGCAGAGGCAGGGTTGCACTGAGGTGGGAGCCCCCATTTCTGTCCTTCCCAGTGCCTCTAGGGCGCACCCAATGGTGTTGGCAGATCCTCCGAGCTGGACTGAGAGGGGACCTTCAATGAGTGTCTTCCTCACAGAGGACTCGCTGAGGGTGTGATTTTTGTGCAGGATGTGATTCTTTCCTTTGCCAAACTCTCCAGTGAGGAAGGGGCAGTGAAACAGGGCTGGGCAGCTAGACACCCCAGGAGCCAGGGGCTGTGGCATCCACTCAAAGCCAAGTCTGTGTGGAGTCCGACACTCAGGACTTGTCTGTAGAGTGAAAGAAATGCAAGTTCCTGACTAGTTTTGTAAAAAGGAGAGAAATAACCTAGTTACGCCAAAGCCGCAGGCGCTCATTTGTGCATGAAGCCAGCCCTGTCTCAGACGCACCCACACAAGGTGAAGCACTTGGGTGATTTCAGGTCGCGAGTGAGGGAGCTGGAGGCTCAAGAAGAGAGCGTGGTGCCGTGGAACACCTGGACTGTTGAACCAGAGAGTCCCAAAGTGATGACAGTTATTTTGCTCCTTTTTGCTGAAATAAGATTAGTCCCCGGAGAAGATGCGGAGCACTGCCAGAGGCCTCGAGATTGTGATTCATGGTGCAGGCTGCTCCTGTGAGGAGCTGCAAAACTTGCATCTCATTGGCGTTTGCTCTTTAGCCAGAAAGCCTCTGGGCAGCTGTGAAGCTACTACCCAGCTTTGCTGTTTTATAACCAAAACAAAAGCAACGCCCACAAATGTGAAGGAAGGTTGTTAAGACTAAAGCACATAAATATGGAGTATAGACGTCTGCCTCGTCACTGGTTTTGTGCATGGAAACATGCATTTACATGTATATAGAAATATACATATACTGTATATATGCACATATATGTAGTGTGTATGTATATATATATGAAACAGAGAAGCATGAAGGTAAAAAAGGTTGTTTCTAATAAAACTAAGAGGCTTTGGCATAGGTTTAACAAATTACAAGAGCACAGATTATTACAGTATTAGGTATTAATTAATGACATCACTGATACCCATAAGTCTTTTCCTAGCTGGGTGATACAATTGTAATTCATTTGCTTTTGGGGTCCATTTATTATTGTCATTGATTAACTATTAATAGTGAAAGGATCAATGCAATTTCTAATTCTTGGTATATATTAAAAAGTCAGCTTTCATTAGCAATGGACAAATATGCCCAAGAGGTATAATAATAAAAATGAATGAAAGAGAATATATTGGTAGAGACAAATCCAAGAAAACATTTAGTTCACGATACTGAAAGAGGGATTGCAATTAGAGTACCTGTCTTTCAGACAGGATGTTGGCTCATGGGCAGAGTCTCCTAGGAAGGTTTAAAGGTTTTAAAGAATCTTTGAAGGTTTTAAAGATTCTTTTCTGTGTACAGTTGCTTTGCATCTGATGACACTTAAAGAAGGCTCATGGGTCCATAGTTTAATACCTCCCCAAATCTTACCCCTCAATTTTGTTTTTTTGGTTTTTTTTTAAAGATTTATTTATTTATTTATACAAGCACTGGGTACAGTCAGAAGTGCAGGAGGGTGAGAGAATTCACCAGAGCCAGAGCGGGGAGCAGAGCAGAGCAGGCAGGAGGACCGAAGTACACTGCTGAGGGGAGCCACGGACGGCAGGAGAGGTCTGTGCGCCATGTGGGACCCTCCTCCGTGGGCCAGGGAGCAGCCGGGGTTCGAACCGGCGCTGCAGAGGCTATGGGCAGCTTCGCAACCCAGCGCTCAACCGCTGCACCACTGGGGAGGCCCACCCCTCAATTTTGAAAGGCAGTTTTGCTGATTGTGTCTACCAGTCAGTAGAAATTCGGAGGTGGCCAAATCTCACTATTCTGTATACGACGGATGAATCAAGTTTCTTTCTAAAGTCAATTTTGCCCTTAAAATTAATTTTAAAATTTGATTTAGGCTATGGTAACTATTCGGTTGACACTTGGTGATGTAATACATTTGGTAATTGGTTTTATGTTTTTTCCGGTTCATTGTCTGCACAGACGTCATCACACCTCACTGGCTCGGTCTCTGTGAGCTCCCCTGCATCACCGGTGACCTCCCCTGGCGTTGGAGCACCATGGCTGGCTCGCCCTGGCTTAGCCTCTCAGCTCTCCTTAGATCTTGATCAAGTTATTACCCAGGACCTTGCTCCCTCTCCTCTTTGTACCTCTGAGCAAAGCAGAAAGGTCACCCTAGCTGAGGGCTTGTGGTGGCAGACGTGTGCAGGGGCCACGGGCTGATGGGCCAGCTGTGGGTCAAGGATGGACAGTGGTGAACTGGCGAGCACCCATCCCTGTAAGGGGAACCATTGCTCAGCCCCTGCCAGCACATGGCACACTTTAGTTGGGCCTGACATGGCCAGCTTTTCCATGAGAATATCTGGAAAAACAGGTGCATGTGGAAAATACATGAATTTAAAGTGTTGGCAACAACTTCAAACTTTTATAAACATCGCGTGGGCCAAAGAGAACACATTGGCTAACCCCATCACATCTAGAGACCTGGAGTTTGTGACCTCTCAAGACCACCAATTAGCATCCCATGGAAGATGGGTGTTCTGGGCCCTGGCTTATACCCTGAGCCAATCTTGGGCTGTTGGCAGAGACCATGAGCAGCACAGCCTAGTGGGAGAAAGCTCAGGGCTTTCCTGAAATCTTGGACTTAGCAAGAATCTTGACCTGGTTTTAAAAGGCCATTTAAAGGATGATGATTAGATGGTAATGGATAACACCAAGCAGTGTTTAGGACCAAACGTGTGAGCTGGACACAGGCAGGGACTAAAGATGAATAGGAAAATACAAAATATGAACCAAATATATCATCATTAACAACAGCAAATCCTCCAAGACATTATTTCAAGTCAGGGAGACGGACCACTCTGCGTCTTGTTCTTTGCAGCCACACTTGGCTTGTGGTGGGCAACCCCTGAGCGCTTGTAGGCCCCGCAGACCAAATTTGCGTGCACCTCGCCCAGGGATTTGTTAGGCTGCAGACTCGGACTCCGTCGGTCTGGGGTGGGCTTAAGAGTCTGTCTTTCCAGGTTGCTGCTGGTCCAAGGACTTGAGAACTGGGGTGCTAGGATTCCCCCCTTCAATGCAAAAGTGCAGCCTGTCTCCTTGCTTCCCTCTTGTCATCCACGCCTTCTCCATCCGTTTCCATTTCCAGGGAATTCTGCTTCTTTACCGGGGTCGCCAGGTATATACCATTTCATCAGGCACTCTTGTTTTTTTAAGTTCTTTGACTTGTAAATTTTTTTTAAAAATTGGGCCTGTAAGCGTTCTTTTTAATGCTTTGATTGTGTACTGGGATGTGTAGGCGTGGACTCAGTGTATCCAGACTTGCCTTGCTCCAACTGCCACAACAAAGCTTCCAGAGAGTTTGGAGGGAGAAGCGTGATTGAGCGAGGGCCAGTTCTCACCCCGCCCAGGGAGGGTGGCATCATCAGCCTCTGACTCTCGAGGATGTTAGCCAGTGAACACCAGGCCCATGCTCCCCTCGGGTGAAATGATGTATGCAGCTGTTGTCAGGAGTTCATAATATACTTCCATGTAAAAATCTGCCCTTTTGAGAGATGAGGGAGTTATAAATTTACAGAAGATTCCTCCCTCTGGAACTAAGTGTTACAATCCTCAAATATCTCCAATTCAGCCTTGATTAAAATTAAGATGAGATCAAAGACCACAAGCTTCTGTAGCAGGAACTTTAAAGAGGATCCAGGTGCTTTTGAGAACAGTCAACAAATTGCCTTTATGACGCAGGTAAGGGAGACTGAATGTGCATCTGCCAGCAGTCATGCATTTTAGGTTAAATCTATTTATTCTGTACCTTTCATCATAAAAGTGAGAGTCTGCATAAGTTTTTACTAAGTAAACAATTATAATGAAAGATTTATTTTAATACCTCTATGGACTATTGGTTTATTGAGACCATGACTATTTATTGTAGGAAACTGTTAAAAACATTTGCTTTTAAAAATTGTAAATTCTGTTTGTTGTAGAAGGTTGATTTATGCTTCGACCTTGGGGTGACTCTCACCTCCCTGGTCTGGTTCTGATTAATATATCCAGTTTGAACAGCTTTGTAAACTGCCTCAGAATCAGGAACATGGCTAAAAGCATTCACTGGTGTAAAGGTTATTATTCAAGTAACATAAAGAAATGATCCAAACAGTTGACTTTGAAAGAGAAGTTGGAATCTTGGTTTCTTTTAATGGCACCAACCTTCAACTCTTGAATTCTTGCTGACTCTTCCTGACCCTTTACCACTAACTCCTGGTCAGAGTAGATATCCGATGCTATGAAACAGGCTGTCCTAAGACAGGCAGCTTGAGACACAAATATATATCCTCCCAGGGACTGTCAGGGTCCAGTGCTACCTCCCCTGCCTGCTGCTGCAGCATCTCTCTGGAGTGTGGTTCAAGGGGCCTGCTGGGCTATGCTCTCATCTGAAGGTTCAACTGGGGAGCCCTTTAAGCTCACTCACGGGTGTTGGCAGGATTCAGTTCCTCTCAGCGTGCTGCATGGAGGGCCCTGTTGTCCCCAGGCTATTGGCCAGGGCCTCTGCACAGGGCTGGTCTCTGTGTGGCCATGTGAGGGCTCTGAGAGAGAGTAAGCATGTGAGCATGATGAAAGTCATCATTTTCTAGCCTTTCTAGAAAATCATTTCCTCTCCTCTGTAACCACTTTATTGAGGTGTGATTGCCGTGTAAAAAGTTGTCTATATTTAGTGTTAAGTCTGTTAAGTCTACAGAACAATATTATTAGCTATAGACATCTGGCTGTATAGTAGAGCTCCAGAATGGCCTTATCTTGCATAACTGAAACTTTTACAATTTGACATCACTCCCCATGTCCTCTACCTCCAAATCCCTGGCATCCACCGTTCTTTCTGCCCTGTGAGTGTATTTTAGACTCCACATATAAGTGAAATCGTACACTATTTGTTTTTCTGCAACTGCCTTCTCTCAGTTAACATAATGTTTCTCTTAGAAAATGGCAAGATTTCCTTTTTAGGGCTAAATAATATTCCACTGTGTGTATGTGCCACAATTTCTTTATCCATTTTTATGTCAGACATTTAGTATGTTTTCATGCCTCCGTCTAGCTTGATATGTGACGCTATCCCATCACTGTATTCTGCTTCTTAGAAGTAAGTCACTAGGTTTAGTCTACACTCAAGGGGGGTGGGTGGCAGAGGGCTCGCGTAGGACGTGAGCATCACAGCATGGATCTCTGGTGGCATGGCGGCATCCTTCTGCCACTCCACCGGTAAGAGCTCGGTGACTGCAAGTGGAACCTATTGTAGTGCCAGGCCGTGTCCTTAGCAGTGAGATTGTTGTGCCAGGCCCACCGGGCCTCATGCAGATCCAGGGTGGGCTGCTCATGATTTGATTGCACAGCTAACAATCCAAGCTATAGGTCAAGAACTGGCAGATGAACTTGCTCACACAACTTGTTTTGTAAAGTAGGTACAGGTAATTTTGGCTGTTTGTATGGTTGTCTATTTAAGTCCTGAAAAGGGAATTAAGAGGGATGGGTGGCCTTCTAAGATGACAGCGGGCCACTCTAAGATGGCCGAAGCCACATATGGCAGGTGGGACGGTGGCCGTGTAATTTAATAAGATCGTGGCTGACTTATTCTTGTCCATTGATCTCAGCTTTAGTGATACACCTCAGAGATGCCCTCCCTGAGCATCCATCCAAATCAACCAACACGCCCCTCTTAGTCCTCTCCTGGTGCTTAGCACAGCTCTCTCCAGCCATCTCTGCTTATTTCCTCGTTTGCTGCCTGTCTCCGCCATGAGAGCTAAACCCCAGGAGAACTGGGGCCTCATCCCTCTTGGTCCACCTGGGTAATGTCGGCTCCTCCCACAGGGCCCGGCCAACAGCGGCGCTCAGTAAATATTTACTGAATAGATGAATGAATGAACGCACAGACATGGAATGAATCTGTAGGGCTTTTAGGGCATTCAGAAATCTTCAGGACTCCAAAGGCGGTGCCAGTTATTAATGTGTAGGCTGCGCTAACTCACTACAGAGAAGAAAACGACCGTGGGCTGGTTTGTCCCAGCACTGATGGCTGGGGCACCTCACGTCACATGTCGGGCTTCCTCGTCCTCAGGTCGGGGAGCTGTGGAGTGGGGGTGTTCAGACCGCTCTGTTCCCAGTCCCGCTTGGCCAGAGGAGGCTCCCTGCTTTCTCCCTGGGTTGCCACGAGAAGTGTGGGTTGAAGAAAGGATTCGATGGCACAAAAAAGAATAGTCACAAAGCTGTAAAACCACATGACTCCGTGCCCACACCAGCCACTCCGGCTCTGCAGAAGCAGGCGCCGGGGTATCCCCTGGCCGAGGAGGGCGGAGACCCGGCCCTCACAGTCTCGGGCCAGCAGAACCAATGGAGGGGTAGGCTTTTCACTGGGGGACCTGGCCCCCCTTCCGAAGGCCCCCCCTTCCTGCGGCCCCTGTCCTCGCCTCAGCCTCACACCTTGCTTAGGCCCAAGTCAGGCCTTTGAAATGCTAGCATCCTTTTTTCCCCTGCCCCTGTTGACTAGCTCATTTCAAGATTTCATTTCTGGCGCTGCATTTCCCACCAGATAGCCAGAGCATCCAAGCCCCAAGTTTCGTAATTAAAATTCTGCCATAGCCCCCGAAACCGTGCCATTAAGCCTGGCATAAAAGCACTTCACCTCGTAATTTAAATATAATACTTCTGGCAGCTTTCAATCTGGGGCATTTTTAATTCTAATTAAAAAACTATTATTGGACATTAATATCCTCTCTGCAGCCTGTTGTGGGCCTCCGCGCCCCGTTCGGGCCGGCCACCTTGAGCACAAGCAGCCTGGCTGCGTGGCTGCTGCGGCCCACGTGGTCTTTCCTGGCCTTTGGGAATCACCGGGTCCCAGGCATAATTAGTATAAATCAGAATCCTCCAGACTATGACAGGAAAATGGTATGTTTCAACAGCAGCTTATTAAAATGACCTACTTAATTTAAGGAAAATATTGTATCCATTTACCCAGTAACCTGGGATGCTTTTCCTGACACGTTTTATAATATTTCTCTCTCTCTCTCTCTCTCTCTCTCTCTCTCTCTCTCTTTCTCTCTCTCTCTCCCCCCCACCCCCACCCCCCAGAGAAGGAAAGGGAGTGGAAGGGGCCGTTCTACTTCATCCAAGGGGCAGACCCCCAATTTGGGCTGATGAAGGCCTGGGCCACGGGGAACTGCGACAGCGGCGGCGACGAGTGGGGCCAGGAGATCCGGCTGACCGAGCAGGCCGTGCAGGCCGTCAACAGGCTGAACCCCAAGCCCAGATTCTTCGTTCTGTGCGGGGACCTCGTTCACGCCATGCCAGGTAAGTTGGGGACCGGCTCTTGCCACCTTTTCTCCTTCACCCAGTCTCGGGGCGTGGGGGCAGCAAACGTGATTTCTCCCCGAGGAGGACTTGGTCACACGTGGCTCCTTCGCTCACTTCATGCCCCAGCAGTGTCGTCAGACATCAGAAGACGCACACTCGTTTTATCTTTAGAAGTTGGCGAGATTAATCACAGTAATTAGGCAGAGCTGCAGTTCTGACGATGTGAGCTTAATATGAAAAATGGGACAGACTCCTGTGTGCCACTTGCTTCATTTCCAGGGGACAGCCTTGGACGGCTGCCAGATGCCGTGTGTGTAAATGCAGCCGTTTCCCGCTTCTTCCGCCTCTGCTTCTCTGATGTTTCAAATCACACAAATACTGTAACTTTATAACAGTAATTATTTTATTTATGAATTATAATATAGATAACTTTATAGAAGAATTTATTTTATAATAGTAAAATAACTTTTGCTGAATTAAATTTTTTAAAGGTGTATGTAGGAAGTGGGCTTCAGATCTGGCTGGATCTAGGGACTCAGCAGCTGTTATCAAGCCTTGATCTCTCTCCTCAGCCCTGCTTTTCTCTGGGTTGACATCATTCCCATGCAGGCTCTCTCTAGGAAGTGGCTCTTGAGGACTCTGGGTTTATATCCTTCTGTAAAAACCACAGCAGAAAGAAAGCGCCTGCCTTATTCTTGGTAGTCCAGTCTAAGTCCCAGGCCAATGCCCATCTGTTTCACATGGCCCCCTGAAGTCAGGGTGTAGGGTCAGCTCTACTGCAGCCACTGGGTCTCAAGAACAGCATGGTTCCCTAAAGAAAAGTGAGATTACTAGGAATGCAAACATAGCAGATTGCTTCTAAGAACTTGCCAACATTTTTTTTTCCTACTCTGATATTAACCTTGTCTCCCAGGCAAGGATAAAGGCCATGAACAAGTGTAAGCAAGTTAAAGCTGCCCCTGCCTGTCAGGGAGGCAAAGCAGACTCCATTGGCCACCTTTATCTGTGTCCCAGTCTCTGCTTAGTGGAACAGAGATGACCTGGACACCATGCACAAGATACTGCAGGGTCCAAGACATTTGGTTTGGTTCACGTTACCTAGTAGACCAAGCTCATCAATCCTGTTGTGACTTCTGATGCCTTTGGAAGCTGAGAACCTTTATGTAACCCTGGCTGCATGAATTCCCCTCCGCCCGCCCCCAGGCTCATGGTGGGGTAGCCTACCCATCCAGAACAATCCCAGAAGGAAGATGGGAGTGTGGAAACACGACCACCCAGAAGTGCTCTTCCTGAAGCCTGGGGAGAGCCCTCAGACTCCTTGGTTCTCTGTGTCCTCCTATATTACTAAAGTCATGAATGGGGACCCACCCCTCATCGTCAGGTGGAACCCAGTGATATCATCCCTGGAGAAGCATCCTGTCCTGCTGCTGGGCCTGAACAGAGGTGGCAGGCAGGGACGAGGGAAAATAAGGCAGTGGGCCAAGGCCTGGGCAAGGGTTCAGCTGGCCAGGATGCCAGCCCCTGTCTGCCACTGATGCCCTGGGTAGACTTTGGCCCCTTACCTTCTTAGGGCCCTGGCTTCTGAGCCTACAACCCATTAAAGCAACAGAAATGTAAAACCTCTGTAGTGTGGGGCCACACAATGCAGAGGCAGAAGACTGGCTCTCTGTGTGGTGGTGAACCACCCCTTGGTCAGTCCAGGGGCACATTCGCAGATGTCTGAGTTATATTTGGTGAAGGAAAGCTGTGTCAGCTGCCCGTGAGCCTAGCTGCCCTTGGTGGCTCTTGACAGAGGGTTCTGGGGTGCAGAGATCATACAGTGCTAAAGTCACTGCTCAGTGTCCCAGTTTCTGAAGGAGTTAGAGGTCATGGCAGGCTGTGGGGCACGGGTCTGAGGTGCACCTCGGTGACGTGCTGGTTGAGTGGCCGGGTCACTGCTGCTTCTACTGCCCTGGTTCACGGTTGGCTGGTTTCTTGGCAGTCATCTTGGCCCCGTATGCACTCACTCTGGACACCAGTGAGCAAATTTATGGTTTTATTGAACACTTGAATATCAGGTTCCAATTTTAACTTTTTTCTGTCCAGTAGTTTCTTTTCTTTACAAGCAGAGCCTTAGGAGACTCAGTAGAATTATATAACGTGTTCTGCTGGTTGTTTACCGGCTCGTTCGGAATTATGTTAATGTATTCAGTCATATTTCAGAGTAAGTTTTAAAATAAACATGTTTTCAGGCTACATTGCATCTGAAATGCAACATATAGAAGTAAATTAAATGATAGAGTTTTTATGTTCAACTCTACCAGTTGGTCAGAAGACACTGTAAATGTGAACTAGCAAATTGTTGATGATGTATTTTATATTCTGTGCGACCCGACCAAAATTTGTATCTGTTCTCAAGATTTAGACTGTTTTGTGGGATTGTCACTGAGCTAGTAAGAGGACTATACCCGCTTTGACCCTTGTGGTCTGAGATGAAACAGAATATTTTTTAATATGCAATTAGTGGCTTTCCCCTCACTTAGCTCACATGCAGGGTAGACATAGAAAAGTAATTATTTGCTTTGCCTGCTTAGCACATTGTTAATTATCAAATGCACATATTCAAAGACAAATAAAACCAGAAAGCATACTTTTAATTCATAAATAATCTCTTGGGCCAAGTAGTTGTTGGCTCACACTGGAGAAAGAGCTTCAGGAATCATGCTTTTTCTAATGAAAGTCGAAATGCTCCTTTCCACACAGTTATCCGTCATCCACACATGTTCACCCGCACATGTTTATTGTGCACACCAAGCGTCATTCACACCGCCAGGTGCTTGGCTGTCGTGGCTAAGATCCGGGAGCAGGCCCCCCGGGAAGCTTAGAGCCTGCTGGGGAAAGGGAACCCATGGCCGGGAAGAAGCCCGTGGGGCCTGAGTGTGGTGGAAATGCTGGGAGAAGGCAGGCTGCTCTGTGCCAGACCCCGGCCCTCTAGTGTTCCAACATGTGTTCGTCCACAGAGATCTTGGCTGTCTTGGTTATTTTCTCATGTTGTGTAGTTTCTCCACGGGGCTGGCCCCCGTACACATCCCTGACCGTTGATTCTCAGCCCTCCCTTGCCGGCCCGGGGATCTTTTCGTCCGTGCCCACGTGTGTCCTCACTCTGTTCATTAAAGATTCCATAACCAAACAAAATAGATAATGTGGGGTGAACTCTTCCCCAATCTGGAGTCTCCTTGAGGAGTTCTTTGTGTTTTGACCTCCACTCGGGCAACTGCTCCGTGGTTTCTCTCGGTTAACAATTCAGCCCCAGGAATTCCTCTACGTAAAGTGAGGCAAGCCTGCACTCGCATTATTCCAGTATGTGACGTCGGGGTTTCCTTGGGATGCAGTAAAAAATGACTACTGGCAACGAGGCGCCTTTATTCTCCTACCGTTCTGGTGGTCAGAAGGCTGACACGTCTTTGCAGGGCTGCGTTCCTTCCGGGGGTTCCAGCTTCTGGGAACTGCCCGCATTTCTTGTGGCCCCTTCCTCCATGTTCAAAGCAGCTCCTCTCGGCCCTCTGCTTCCGCTTCTTATACCCTGTTACACCAGCCCTCCTGCTTCTCTCTTCTAACCCCCCTGTAATTATTTGGCCCTTTTCAGGTAACCCAGGCAGTCTCTCCAGCTCAGGAGCCCTAGCTCCATCACGTCTGCAGGTCCCCCTGTGCTGTGCAAGGTGACATGTTTACATATTCCAGAGATCGGGCTGCAGGCTTCTTTGTGGGGCTCCTGTTCAGCCTACTCCAGCAGCCTAAGGTGGAATTCAGGGTCTACCTGCCAGAAACCGCTGGCTCCCCTGTCATCAGTCTCGAGAGCAGGTGTCGGGTTCTTTTCATGTTAACTGGTGGGGGAGCTGCCTCGGGGCAGGTCAGCCCTATGCCAGGGTCACTCATCCCTTAAGCAGTGGAGTCAGGGTCTGACTCAAGTCCGTCTGCTGCCAAAGCTCGCATGCTTCCCACTGCAGCCTCGCTTCTCCAGGCACCCCAGCTGTGAAGCATCAACAGCTTGTTTTCACTATAGGATCCCCACCACCCCCCAGACCTCCCGAGACAGTCAGCACTTTCGCCAGATTCCAGTTGACCTCATGGACAATCAGGTTTGAGAGATACTTACTGAACCTAGCGCCCAGGGCCCTGTGTTTTGTGCCTTGGTGTATTATGTAACATGCGTGTGTGCAAGTGGTGTGTGAAAATGCCCTCCGACTGTTACAGATAGTGCCGAGCACGTCAGCTTTAGACTTAGCAGGTTCAGCTCTCGAAGGGAAAGGCTTTAAGTCCATGGACTTTTTCTGGCTTTGTTTTGTCTTGGTTGTGTTTATTGGGGTGACGTTGCTTTGTAACACGATATACATTGCAGGAGTGTAGGCACGCGCCTGTATATACATGCTCCTGCACCGTGTCCCCCACTGAGGCACCAAAATCTGGCCTTTGTTTTGCTTTCTGAACAACAGTGGAATAACACAGGTGACCTCTGCTCTGCAGGGCTTCCAAACAGAGCTTAACCAAGGTGGTCAGGAGAACCTAGCCCACACCAGCTTTATGGGGAATGGCAGGAGAACCAGAACTGGGTCTGGTTTGGGCCAGGTACACGCACAGAGTCCCTTATCTGCCCTTGCAAAGTTCAGGAAGCTCTGAAAACTAAGAGTTTATTCTTTCTTACTCGGTGGGCAGCAAAACTCACCTGAACTGAGACGAGGTTATTTGAAGCCTCTGCTAACCCTATTTGGTGAGAATATTCACGTGTTTTTCTGGCAAATCTGCTGTCGTCTTTACAGGGTGCTGCTTGTGTTATTTAATATGCACCCTGAGCACTGCTTTACTGTCTTGAAGCGTGAAAAATGTCCAAGTTTCAAACCAAACTTGGCCCATCAAGTTTTGGATAAGCACATAGGAATCTGCAGTATCAGTAATTTGGGATTTGAAGATGAAGCGCCTATCACTCTGGAAGCAGAGGCCTTTTCCTCCCTCTGATTTAA